AGACGACCTATAAACGACCACTACGTGATGCGAATTTACTTGACAATGCTCTTCAATTTTCACAACCGAGCCTGGAGAACAGAAACGTCGTTCGTTAATTGAACACCTCCCCTCGATTGTCTCGATATCTCGATTTGGAAAACTTGTTAAATCTGCGTTACGGAACGCTGTATAATCGTTGATAAAGTTAAGGGCGAGAGAGAGTGGTGCAACGGATATCATCGAGATCGCCTTTTAAGAAGTCTCAGCGAAGACTTTAAAGGTAGATATACCCGATGTCGCGAGTTCAGATAAGAAAGGCCCCGGTGAACGGGGAAGAAAGGAAGAACGTTCCCGGAGGATGAAACGGAAAATTATATTTTTCGCGCGGAGGAGATGGAAACGACACCGATAAGCGCCGCCCAGCCTTTGGCTAACATTCAATGGAACGTGCTACCTACAATTTCGCTACAAACGAGACAAAATACAGCGACAAACAGATAACCTATAACGAGAGCCAGCAAACTTGTCGCATCACGTCGAGCTTAATTATTTATTATTGCGTGCAGGCTGCCTTGAAATTTCTCGCATTCGTTCGATTCTCCCCGCTGTTCGTTTGTTAGATAGAAATTGGAAAAAATCCGCACACGCAACGTTAAAGAACGTCGGATGCAGGTTACGCTAGCTCGCGTATGACCTCAGGTGCACCTGCAGGCAGGAGACGTTGGCATATCGACCAATGCCCTGCTCTCGGTGACCTCCATCCACCCTCCTCGCTGCCCATAGTAATTTATTTAGAGTACTTTTGGCTGAAGTTCTGCGCGCTTCGCGTAATATCGTGGCTATTCCAATAAATCGAACTAATTGCATGAAATAACAATTTAACGTAAACGGAAACACGAGAGATGAATTTTTCTCTCCATTTCCAAATATTATGTTAATTAACTGTAATTAAACCTAGCTCTGTTAAAGGGAAACGGTATAATTGAATTGATACTTACAAAAGGTGCACACGTATAGAGAGGATATACATATTTGGAGATTGGCAAAAGGAACACGTAAAATTATCAATGGAAACAATCGAAATGAACGCTGGATATTCGGACTGCTGCCTCGGATTAAAATTCTCTTTGTTC